AAGTATATAGGTTGGTAAATTAGTATACAGCCATTACGTACTAACCATTCGACTTAAATACAACTTGTTTGTATAATATATTGTGGCGGCATATTTCAGCTCCCCCCACGAGCCACTAGTAGGTATAAAAGTATTTATTTCTACAGCCGTAGAACAATTTTAAAGAAAATTGATTTTTCAACTAGTTAGTAGTTATAGTTATACGTCGCATGGAATGCGTTTTAAAATAATTTATATACGTGTTGGTATTATACAGGTCTTTTATACAAGTATCTCGATGTGTTCCGTGTGTTTGAAATATAATATATTATATTGATGCATCAAAAATACCGGTTCGTAGTTTTTAAGACGTTTTTTGTTCATATTCCAAATGAAGACGTTAACATATTATTATTGTTGTGTGGTAATTTATTCACGAAGAAAAAAACAAATATAATATTTGTTTTTATAAAATGTCTTCTTTGTCATGTAGCGGTACCAACAAACAATTAGTGTAAACACTGTAAACGATATTCGGATGATTCGGATTCATACGCATGTGTTGCTCATCTCATATAGCTACTGAAAACTGTTTTATTTTTATTTTACTGATCTTGGAATATGATTTGCTAAATACCTATAAATTACCTACATATTATTATACAAACGTCTTCTCTCGTGTATTTTAACTGTTTATATAGGTATTGCTGCCGAACTAAAATATTTATAAAGAAGACCGATCACATATCGCGGTCGTTAATATCGAAATACACGTGCGTTTAAGTCACCAAAATAAATATTGTAACGTTTAGTTCGAAACACGGACGATAATTATAATTTTAACGTTTTGCGGTCAGGGTTGTGCATATGCTACATATTTGTGTATATATTGTATCTTTTAACACTTGTTAATAATTGTAACCAAATATCTAGTTAATTTTTCAAAAATGTTGAACGCAGGAGTGAAAATTGATGAAATTTTAGTATCTTCCATCTAGATCTTTTTTTTCAAATATATTATTCTTGCTCATCCCTGATTGCGGATAGGAAAATATTATTATACATACAATATATAAGTACTTATCATATACGAGCCTAAACACTCGGTTTCCTAATTAATCTACCGACTAAACAAACAGCTACACGACTATATAATGTGTACAGGGTTTTAGACATTTAGTACTAACATTAGTACAATTAGAGTAATTAGACAATAAGATATCATTAGAGGAATATGATACTATGCAGTGTGCATAACTGCATACTAATACCTACATTTAATACAATTGTTTCATTTTCTATTTGTTTACTTTTCTATTATTGGTACACTTGCAGTATTCATTTTTGTCTACTTTTTTTTTGTCCGTCGTTAAATAACGACTAATATCCGTCATATTATATGGCTATATAAACATAGAAATATACATTTATATGCACGTGTATATTATGAGGTATATATTATATTTACAGTAGTTAATTAATTTATCATGGTTGTGTACCTATAATACCTCATTCAACAATGCACACAATATTTCATCAGCACAGAACACTTTCATCTAGTTTAATCTCAAAAAAGTGTGTCTAAACGACTATAAACTAGTTAATCCAAATATCGTTCCTGGAGACAGGATTGTAGATATATATCTATATGTATATGTATCTATTACATAACGGTAACTGTCATTCAATACGTAACGTTATTCCGTCGGCCAGTGAATAACCTATACAGGACACATGACTTATATACAAATGTATTTATTTTATATTTTGTAATTATAACAAACGATATAATAATATATATATCGTACGGTAGCTGTATAGTTTCGTTACCATAATAATATGTTATATTATATCAACAATTATCATTATGCTTGTACGTGGCTTTTCATGCGTTATTATTTAACTATATCGAAAAGTATACGAGGAGGACTAACCTACCTAATATAGGTAGGTACTTAAGTATCTTAGGTATCTGCAATCGGACAATATTATAATATGTATTTTATGGAATTCTGTAATAACAGAAAAAAACGTTAGACCCACAAGAAATATCCAAAATTGTGAATAAATACGATATATATACCTATATATATAATCGATAATAAGTTATATTGTCAATCATAATATGGTCTATAGCAGGGAGGGCAAACCTCTTGAACACTGCGTGCCCAAAATTAGTAATAACCTATTTTTTTTTTTTAGAGAGTGCCATGATAAAAATATTAAAAATATTATATTTTGTTATACTATAATTTGATTAAATAATTAATGCATTAGTATAAAAAGGTTAATTTAGGTTATTATAGGTCCTATAATATTATATATTATATAATATATAATAGTAAACATTTCCACAACATTTTTTCGCGTGCCATGGATTTGTAATCCCCGGTCTATAGTAAAACAATGCATTTATAACTTATTTTTCATTGACTAAAATCGTCATATTCAAATGTTCATACTAGTAGTTCTACTCTGCCTAAATATGTTTGTGTAGGTACTTTTAAAATTAAAAGCTACCTTCAACGCTTACTTAAATTTGTATTTTTGAGGTTGTTTTACAATTATATTTTCAAATCTTAAAACGATTTGTTGCAAAAGTTTAAAAAAATAAGTTATGCAACACTATTAAAATATTATTATAATCTCTAGTTTTTGTGAGTAATATAAAATTAAAATTACCAGGTTACGAAATAATATCTCCATACAAAACAATGTGTTTATCATTAAGTTTATGACAAGGTGACTGACGTGTTTTTAATATTATGTTTAAAAATTAATAGGTATCCAGTGTACCCACATTCTCATAGTATATTCTAATAATGCCTAAATCATTAACTATGCCGTAAATAATAAACATACCTATGATTAAAAAAAATCCATTTCTCATTTAACACTGAAAATTATAATAATATTGTATTAACAAAAATGCACGACTCGAATTAGGAAGGTACCACCTACCTCTGTTTTTAAGCCAAAGACATCCAAGTTTCCGAGAAACCATGAGAACAATCGTTGTTTCCCAGGAATTATAAAATTACGTTAATTATTATTGTAAGAGGCTTCGTGCTACTAAGTTTGACCTTTTAGTAAAAATTGTAACCTAAAATGACCTTCTGTTTTGTCATTGCTCTTTTTAAAATAATAATAAACAGTTTTCAAGATATTTTCAATTTCGTGTACATCAAATGTACATCTATTAAATACATGTATTTGATACTTAGTAACTATATTTACTTAGACACCTAGGTAGGGATAATTTATTTATATTAATCACTTCGATTAAATTGGGTAGTTTAAGTGGTTTCATTTAAATGTGTTCAATCGATACATATTGTTATATAGTATACAATATGAAGAAAATATCTCAGTCGGTACCTATTTGAAACAACAAAAATGATTTGTCATTTGGGAAGCAAAAAAAAATACATATACCTATGTATAGGTTGATATGATAATGTGAGAAAAACATAATATACCATTTCTAGTCTACCAATAAATGGAAATAACCGAATAATTAAAAATTAGGTTACCTACTTTAAATGTAAATATAGCATAGGCCTGTTCAGCTAACTAACCTTAAGTATAAAAATGTTCAAGTTTTGACGTTTAATCAACAGTAAACAATTGTTGGACTACATACATTTCATATTCCAACAATGTTTTATTATTATATAACTAAGTATAGAAGATTATAACTCGTACCGAGTTTATAGATTCGGTTATATAGTTTTAGTAGGTAGGTATCTACGGTAAAATATGATAAACAAGCCAGGCCAACAATAATTATATTATAATGTGTTTGAAACCAAAAGAAAAAAAAAATTATAATACATTTATCAATATAATAAATAATAATATAATAGTTTCGAATACGAACGAAACCTATTAAAATCGTCAATTATAATGGAAACTATAATATACGAGTATATAATATATCATTTCAAAATGATCTATTGTTGTTTTTTATTGTGTACAAATCCATCAATTAAGGGTGTTCTTTAACTATTGTAGAACCGAGAAACTCCGCAAGGAACATGATCATCCAAATCTTATTACGTATAAAAAAAACCAATTCTTTAATACTCGTATAAGTGTATAACCTTTATATTAAACATTAACATCTTTAGAAAAGTCTCAACTTATTCAAACTACATACAATTAGAAATAAATGTTGTTTAAAATTCAAGATTTAATTTATAATAGTTCGACCATCAAACATATTGATGAAATCAAATTAAGGAAATATGTATTACTTGTTCAATTGCATGCAAATTATATTCTCAAAAAAATTCAACAGGTACTATAGGTATTTTAAATAATGAGTGATGGCTGTCAAGAGGATCATCCTATGTGCATATATATTTATAGCTATTTGAAGACGTAAGTACGTATATATTACTACATCATTGTGACAAACTACTAAAAATGAACTGATTGAGACGATAATTTATATGATATCTAGGCAGAGATGGTTTGAGTATACAATTTATGGTGCAGTGCTCCGCCAATATATAAAGGGCTGAGCGCAACGTATCATTTTAATTTTCAATAAAGTAACCAATGATAATCATGGTTGGGTTGTGTTCAGTTATCAGTTAACGGGTACTTTTATTGAAAATTTCACTGAAAGGGTGGAGTGAGTGGATGATCATGCGCCTCGCACTACTAAATATAATACTGTGTGGTTATATCATAGGTGTTATGATAATATGAGGTGGCTAGCCTAGCTCTAGGATTCAGGGTGCACCCCAAGTCCTCGACCATACCCTTGCTATCGGCACGGTGCATTGTATAGAGATATAACACTATAGGTACTATTAGTATTCGACATGATATTATGCGTCGTACGAAACCACCCCGTGCATGCACATAACTATATATAATTATTATTTATCATTAGTCAGTCGTGAAATAAACGTCTTTAATATATAATAAATCCCCGCAAAGTCAACCAAATGTTGTAGTTGACAGTATTGTATTGTAGCATGAAAACATTGAAAACTAAAGAAAAAACTCACTTTTGAATATGCGGTGGACGTCGAACACGGTTTAGTCATTTTCAAGACATGTGACGGAAAATCACTCCTTCCGGGGTGCACCCGGTCTGACGCTGAGCCGCAAAAACTCTTTCGGACACCGTTGACGAGCAGGTGGGCAGAACAAACAGGTGGGCAAATAACGTAAAGTCAATACTCAAGAAATGGAGTACTCGCGAATGAGTTGATGTAATCAAATATTGTTCAAGATCGTAATGTGATGGTCACAGTCGGGTGTCCGCGTACGACATGTCGTCCGGTGTAGGAAACAACGTCTGAGACGACGATGAGGTCTCGCGGAGAAAAAAAATTATCGAAAAGATCACTGTGGTCGACTGCGATATCGGTGGTCCGGCAGTCGGGTAGGCGATGCTGAGACACTCGACTTAGGCATACACCGTGTGTGTGTGCGCGTGTGTGTGGTAGTTACCCGACAACTGGCTTGTCGATGCACGGGTCGCCGGTCTCGCGGAAAGACGGTTAGATACTGACGACTGCGGCGGCGGCGGTGGCCAGCCTGCTACTTCTGTCGGCATTATATTGTTACTATATTCTCGTTCTCGTTCTTGGCGGGGAGACGACCGGCAGTCGGCAAGTACCTATATATGTATATATTTTATATTTTACCTGCAGCAGCCTGCCACACTGTTGTATACAGCCTGATTCACCGAGCAATCTCACCCCCTTTTTTTTCATTAACAATGCAGTTATTTGAAATATGATTTTTTCGATTTTTCAAAATTTATTTGAAGACCAAATTTTCAAATTCTTACGATGTTTTGTATTACTTACGGAGGTGGAAACTTCTGTTTTTAAATGAGAACTCCATTTTTCCATTGTAAACATTATGTACTATATGATAATTTTTCTGAACATTTTGACATATCATAATCATAATTCAAATTAATAGTTTTTGAATTATGGAACTCGTTTACTACTACTACTACTAATAATAATAATAATAATAATAATAATCTAGGAACTATTGTTCTTAGATAATGTGCTTAAAACAAATGGGGAGACGCCATGGACTCTATGGGCATTTGAAAATTTTAGTCATTAATAGTAATCTATCAAAATTAATAATTTCTTAAAATGATCCAAGTATAATTAATACTGGAACCAGAATTAAATATATTATTTTATATTTTTATAAAATCATTTTTAAGGATTATTATTTATCACATACTTATACAGTATCAACATTTTATTAACTCATAAACTAACCATTTGAATTTTGAGTTAGGTACATCAAAATTTTCAAACAAATTATCATCTACTAAATAATTTATTAGAAAAGAAGGGTTTTTAATATTTAAAATATAGAAATTAATGTAGTTCGTGAAATACTGCTTTACAAAAAAAAATCTGAGTTTATTTAAAAATTCCAAAAATCCGATCGAGAATAAAATATTCATTACTAAAAGTAGACATTGGGGGTTGAGCATGAGTGGCGAATCGCCCTGTATAACACACTTGTGTGTGTCCGATGCGTTTGCCCCGCGGAGAGAACAGTCGCGAAGTATATATACCTACATGCAGCAGGTACCTATAATACAAGCACATATAATAATAATAATAATAATAATAATAATAATAATAATAATAATAATATGTACCCGCAGAGTACACAATATAATAATATTACAGTGGTGGTCAATGCACTTCGGGTTTTGTGCCGCGAGTTCAGCCCGATATAACGTACTGGTATGCGTGCGGTGTAAATATCTGAGCTCGCCGCGTAAGTATTCGTATATAATAATACGCACATCTCACACACAAACACACACACACACACACACACACACACACACACACACACATGGTTTACACCGACATAACGAATTATAGTGCAATAATATTATTTGTTTTATTTTTCGACGTAACAGAAAATTGTGTACTGCCACAAAAATACTGTATTTTTTTTACAATAATTTTAGGTGTATTATTAATATAATTTATGTGTAGGAGGTAAGTACAATAATTGACGCGATGTATAATTTTATCAAAGTGTCATATAAATTCTACCTCGTCGTTAAGCGCTTCTAATAGGTATAGCCTACAATTGCAGAATAATTTGTCACAATTTTATCTCGTTTGGAGATGAGCGTAATCCGCAGTGTTTATACGATAGTATTAAAAGTTTCAAAACTCGACGAGGCGCTGGCATCGTGTTTTATAGTAAATCAATGTAAAATATTAACGCAACTATAATATTATTACTTATTAGCCTGTTAGGTATGAACGTCGGATTCACTAATTCGGTGTTTCTTATGCAAATAATTATACAGTTTAAACTTGATGATTCTCCGACAAATTATACTTGTATATGCATTTTTGCTTTTCAAATCCCAGAATCAAATTCGGTTCAAATTTCACACCTTAATAATATTATGGCCAGTGTACACACCTACATCGCCTGTAACTATGTATAATATAATTAATAGGCGTACCGCGGTAGCATAATATTATTGTTTAGTATTTGCGTTGTGTTCACAGCGGAGAGCGTAAATATTTAGCGACCCGAACGGTAAACGATGATGGAAAAGAACGGACGTGACAAGAATATTATCGTCCTTTTATGTTTTCATCGGCCGGTAGAGGTTTTCACGTTTAGTTTGGCTGTTTGTTTGTTTGGCGTTGTGGTTAATCTCGCTTTTAAAATAATAAATATTGACGACGGTCGATTTACGTCTTGTTCATGATATTACATTATTATACACTTTGATCGGATCATTGCATCCATGGATTGTATATATTCGGCATATTATACCTATAGGCACTGCTACTGAGGATTTACCGAAACCGATGTACCTACAATATAGTACACTATTTCAATAATAATGCTTATGTCAAAAAAATAAAAAAATATAAATATAATATTATAGAATCAATAAGATCCATATACTTGCAGATTATCGGTCGTATACCTCTATATATAGGCAGATGCGTTTTATTCTTAATTGATTGCATTATTCCAAACTACTTGTAATCGTAGTTTTTAAAGTTAAAACCAATGATAATGTTATAAAGGAGTTTATTTCGTTGTGTATATTATAGTAACTATTGCAAATTACAATGTATTACAATTATGTATATATATTTTTCCAAGAATATTATCATTGTTGTGCTCTGCAATTTTCATATAAAATATTCAACCGTTTCTTTCTTGCAGGTTCTTTATAGATCTAATATAAAAAATGTGGGTCAAGATGAATTTTAATTTAAGCGTGCGTAGAATAATTAGGCATGATAATTGTGTAATGTTATTCAAGTGTTATAAAAGTAAGTAGGTATATAGTTTTATTGTCTGCAAAAATGTACCTATGCATCTTATTGAACTCAATATGCAACCACGACGATTCTGTATAAGATACGTATTCGAACTTCGGTAATAAAGCGTTATGGTAAAATTGCAATAATTTATCTAATTAAAATAAATAATACACGTTATAACATGTTGGTACCTATAAAAGTAAACAATAACACCATACGACATTGAATATAATAGTACCTGTACTAAAAGTAAAAAAAAACATAAAAATACATCAGACTTGGTATCCATCTATTATAACAGTTATATTATGGACGTACTTACATATATTTTTAAATTTAAGTCACTGTGCAGTAAAAATTAAAAATATTTATTAGTTTTAGGTAAACCCATTAATTATTACTCATTAATATACTTGTAGACTATAATATTATTTATCTGTATATTGAGTTGAATGCTTTATACTTATACCTATTTAAGACATTATTTTATAATAACATATCAAGTTATTTTATAATAATTAATTTTCAAATAATGATTTATGTAAAGTTAATAGTTATCATCTGAAATCTGAATGCAATTATAGTATTATACTGATCCACTGGAAAATAACGATAAAGACTAGTTTGGAGACTTAAACGCCTAAACAATTTATTTACTTATTAACGTACACAAAAATATGATTATTAAATAGAATTAAGTCAAGAGCAAATCATTTTAAATGTTTAATGATTATGTTGTTAATTATATAATCTTCATAAAATATAATCACCTGGAATTGCTGCATTTAATTGAAGAGCATACAATTTAGTTAAATTAAATATTACTTTATCAGTGAAACTCGTTGTACTATTGACTCTATTGTTTAATAAACTGCAGTTTATTGTACAATGAAGTATATTATGTTTAATTTAAGTAGAATACAGTATTCAAGTACATGAACGATGGTTGGTATGGTATACTATACTAAATATATAATATATTTAAAAATCGCACTACCTACTACAATAAACGATTGTGTTTCATTGAATCAGGAATGTATTTGTATCAAAATCTCAAGCAGGTGAATCTTTCTATACTATTGAGCCTTCAACAAAAGAATTTAAAAAAATTTGCCATCTGTTGGCATCTGTTAGTCAAAAACTGTCGTTCCTATATTGGGGGACTAAACCAGTCACCGTTTATGAAATGCAAGTGACTGTATTTATATTTGTATAACTTAAAGTGTTGTGTATTTTAGCCTTAATATTACTATTCGAAATTTGTACCGTCTCGTTGCATAATGATAAATAAATAAATTCAAGACTTTGTGAGTTGACGGAATCATGTTTGAACAATTTTATACGCCAAAAAAATTATGCATATTGTGAATATTAGATGTTCCTGCTGTTAGATAGGTGCTTACATATAAGTATAAATAGGGTATTTGATATTTTTTCAGAGCATGCTAAAATATGCATATATTTGTTTGTTTTTTTAGAGCTATAAGTTCCTAAGCCTATGACGTACCTATATTTAGTAAACAATATTCCCGACACGTATTCATTATTTGTAATGCGCATATCAAAAAGTAATGTTATAGAATTTAGGAACAAATGTATTGTTTTAACTCAGTATAATAAATCGAATTAATGTGAGATCCGATAGGTAGTATCTATATGTAGGTAGTTTTTGAGACGCAATGTTCTAATAACCTGCAGTCAAAGTTATCACGCAATATCGAAATCTTCCGATCTAGGAAAATACATTATTTGTACAGGTCACGCATATATTTTATGGTACCGGCTACCGCTGAAGTATATAGGCAGGTACCTACAAGACGTTAACAGCCCTCCTTTGTACGATTTATAGATTTATTTTTTTATTTATAATATAAAATACGCGTATATACATACGATAAATAAACGCGATCCGATGACGTGACTCTGTATACCTACTTTTTGTACAAAAGACAATAGCGGTCTCGCCATTAGGAGCACTGAGGAGCGGATACTGATTACCTACTATTATATATATTTTATTATATGAAGCTATAATAATATGTACATACAGGCACACACGGCCATCGTATTATTATTCTGCTCTTATAGATTATGTTATACGTAACGCGGGAATGGCCTGAGGTATAACATATTATAGAGGCGCATAATATATTACAGGCATACGTCTGGCGATGGGTTTTGGCCTGCGCATCGTCCGTGGGAGAAACGCCCGACACGCCTG